AATTACTAGACTCGGTTGATAAAAATCAAGACTTGCATATAATGAACATATGACACGGTGCAAGAGTTTGAGTCTGTACGGAACCTATGTAGGTTTCAGTCCTTGTTTAACTTGCCGGACAGCAAGGTCATCCAACTACTTTAGGCCCGGCGAGGCACATAACTCCCTCCACAACTCCAGACAATTTTCATATAAACTAGCCGAGTGTCACCAATAAGTGACGTATAATAAGTAATGTGATCATCCAGTAGAATTTTAATTGTAAATTTCCACACACACACACACCGATATATTGAGGTTATACTGAAGATTTGTATAATGTATTAAGTATAATCCCGTTATTATTAATTAGCGGACTACAATGCTCGCTCCGCGTATTCCCATTCATACCACGGCCTACACATAATTTTATTAATGGCGAATGAAATTTCCTAAGGGTTTTAGGCGGCCAGGTAGCGCAGTTGTTAGAACGCCTGCTTACAATCGATTGGTTTTGCGAGTATCGAAACCCACTGACATGCCTGTCCGTTGGTGGCGTCGTCGACGTTACAGCTAATGATCATGGAGTGGACAATGCAGCCCCCCGTCAACTCAGCCGATACTCTAAAATCGTGGTGTGAGGGTTAAATGAGGAGCAGCACATTGTCGCAAAAGTCTCGGACGAAGAAGTATGGTACACACTACCATAACCGTCACGAGGCCCAAAAAGATCCTTCGGCTTCCAGTTAATTGGCTGGTTGCACTTTTGTAACATTGTGCTGTTGGGAAACAACCGAAGTAAAATAAGTTGTCAGAATAAAAAAAAAGATCTTAAGTTAAGAGTTAAGAACACTGCCCACGCACCAACAGCTGAGTTAGCAAAAGGCAGTGATTACAGTCAAATAACTGTTGATGGACCCTTTCCAGACTCGTAGAGGTCTGCAACCCATGCTCGCTTTGGCCAGCATTGTTTTTATCTCTCAATGACTATAATAATAAAGTAATAAGAAATTTAAAGTCATGCCGTAGCCCCTCTCGTCGCACGTTGCCTTAATTATGAGTAATATAAACTTGCCATGATGTACTGCTGTATCCGTTTAAATTATTTATTTTACCAAAACCCCTAATTGGGGGTAGAGTGGACCGTTGCCAGTGTCTCCTTTTCTCGCGGAACCAAAGTAAATGAAAATCAGTATGGGAAAACGTTTCTCAAATGCAAAATGATACCGGAGAATAAAAATCGTTCGCTACGCAGAGAGAATTGAGAGATTGTCTTGATAGGGAGAGATGAGCCCAGAACAGGGGATACTTCGTAGAACGTTTTATGTGCTTGCAGCACCGCACAGACATCTGTGAGGGCTGAATCCTTTCCCTTTCTTCTCGAAGTTAATGTATCCATCAAGTCAAGTAGCCTGTTAGATCCTGTCTGATTTAATAATAACATAAACCCGCCACGCAAAGGGTTAATAAAACAGATCACCCGCGCGCTGCCCCCGCAACCACAGCTTGAGATAGGCACAAGGGCAGTGATACATTGATAACTGTTGATGGACCCCATCCAGATCTTAGAGAGGTCGCAACACACATGCTCGCTTTGCAAACCTGCATTGTTTTTATCTCGTCTTTGACTAAAATAATACAGTAAAAAGAAATTTAAAGTCCATGTCCGAAGCCGCTCGTCGCTCGAGCATTAATTAATGAGTTAATTAACTTTGCATGTTGTACTGCTGTAGCTTATTATTATATATTTTACCGAAACCCATAAATGGGTAGAGTGTACGATTGTGCCAGGTCCCCCTATTCGCGAACAAAAAGGAAATGATATCAGTTGAGAAAACGGTTCTCAAATGAAAAATGATACGAGAAGAATGTTTCGCTACAGCAGAGAGAATTGAAGAATTGTCTGAGAGGGAGAGATACAGACAGAGATCCTTAGTATAAAAGTTTGTGGCATGCCGCAGACCGCCAGGCCATCATTTAGGCTGAATCCTGATCCTTCTTCCGAAAGTAGATGTATCCATCAGAGTCACGTAGCTTTTTGAGATCCTGTCCGATTATAATAATACGTCCCTAATTGCCGTAATTGGTGACATGATCTGACCCTGATAATCGGGGTCCCCTAATCGGCCTCCCCGCGATTGCACGTGTGAGACACAGTTGTTCTCTTTTTGTCAATGCGTTCTGAAGATCAAAGCACAATATATTCCCGGATTCAGGCACAATTGTACCTTTAAGCATCAGGCATAATTTTATCACTGATCGTTTTTACTAGACCGCAGCAGCCTGTCTGCACAAATTGAACTCGGAGCCAAAACTGGATCATGATAATAATAAAAAAATGTGAATAAAGAGCGGTAACAAGAACTACTGTTTCGTAATAAGGTTCGGTCTCCTCTATAAGTAAATAGTTTTTGACTTGAAGCTTCCCCCTAGTAATGCGATCTCGGAAGGCAGCCTCCCCTTTGCAACACAAGCTCGGAAGCGGGAGGTACGAATCGAGAAAGACTTGGACCAAAATTTACTAATCCAAAACTTTTATCTGGAAACCCCTATTTCTTCCACGTGTTTTCATGCTACCGCTGTTCATAAATAAGAATATAATAGACAATCTTTATCGGCTTTTGAATTCCGCCCCTAGTCAAAACATTGATTTTTATAAAGATTCGCGATAAATTTGACGAAAAATATGCATATCAAATTTTTTATAAATACATTTATTTATAAAGAAATAACCGTCCAAAATTCCGCGGCAAAAATACTCTGAAAACCGGACCGGCTTATTGAAGCCGTATATCCTCCGGAACCGGATTCAGCCGGATAGCCGGACTTTTTCCAAATATACGGCAACAAAAAGGTTGCATTAAAATTCAAAAAAATGGTTCGGCACGTATCACAAATTTCATTCGAGATAGTAGTGTCACAAAATGGTAATACCAAACAGTAATAAAACATTTGTTTTCAACATAGCCGATGTACCCTATAAAAATATAACTGGTACCACTATTGCAAACATAGCCAGTAAAACACATTCAAGTCAAAAATCAAAAGATATCAACAGGTATTTGAGAGTTCTGATGAAACCTAAGCCAAATACGGATAGTGGATTAAACTCTATGCGTAAATTAGATAGTTTGATAACTAAGGACGGCTAAAACGTCATGACTTAGCAAAGTTGTCTCTGGACGTGATAAAACTTAATGGTGGGGAAAAAGAGAAAACACATTATAATTACAAATGTTTGACTGGGCTTGCTAAGAGTTGAAACTCGAGAGCTCATAAAACCATACTCAATGCGAATGATAGTAAAGCTCTAGAACAGAATTTCTATCACAAAACAACAACCAGTAACCCCATGTATCATCCTGCTCGCTGCGGCTTTTGGTATAAGTTCCCAAAGAACTCACGTGACTGAACTAAGCCTGATAAAGCAAAGTGTTAGCCGCCAGCCAATTGCAAACATACAAAGCAAGCTTTGCTTGTCCTGAGTCCTCACCCGAATAACAAGTGTAAGTGTGCATCGTTTCCGTGTTACAATGAGCTAATAAATCGAAAGAATATTCCACTTACCTGTTGATGGCTCCAGAGATAGTCCCGTTTTAAACATTTTATTATACATAGCAGGATAAAACTATAAAAGAGCGCATAGACATAGAGGTTGAGAGAAGGTGTTCATAAATTGTAAATTGAACTGACGCCCTGAACCCTGACCCTGACCCGACCCAGGACCCTGACCCTGCACCAGACCCAGACCCTGACGCTGTACCCTGACCTGACCCTGACCCTGCCCTGGACCCTGACCCTGACCCTGACCCTGACCCAGACCAGACCCTGACCCTGACCCTGACCCTGACCCTGACCCCCTACCCGACCCCTGACCCTGACCCTGACCCTGACCTGACCCTGACCCTGCCCTGACCCTGACCCCTGACCCTGACCCTATACCCTGACCCCTGACCCTGACCCAGACCCTGACCCTGACCCTGACCCTGACCCAGACCCAGACCCTTACCCCTGACCTGACCCTGACCCTGACCCTGACCCTAAAGCCGGGTTAGGTTAGCCGTTTAAGGGTTAGCCGGGTTAGGGTTAGCCGGGTTATAGGTACGCCGTGTTAGGGTTTGCTGGTTTAGGGTTCGCCGGTTAGGTGTTCTTCGGTTAGGGTAGCCGGTTAGGCAAGGATAGCCGGTTCGGTTTATCCGGGTTTAGGGTTTAGCGTGTAGGGTAAGCCGGTTAGGGTTAGCCGGTTATGGTACGCCGGGTTAGGTAAGCCTGGATTAGGGATAGTCGGTTAGGGTTAGGCTTACCAGGGGACCCCAGGCTAATAATAGGGGTGCACCATAAAAATAAACTTGCTCTGATTTAAAAAATTTTGTAACCATTGTTTTCTAGAGACTGAGAGAATTTTTCAAAATACCAAATTTGTTTACTCCATTTTGGAAAGAACAGAGAGTAATCGCCTAGGTGCCAAAATTTGATGGATGCGCGTCATTTGGAGGCAAAATTAGCTGTAAAAGTTGCGTACATTTGACCAAATTTGACCAAAATCGTTGATTTTTGTCGTATCACCTTTCTAGTTTTTACCTTATATGTCATTGAGCTGCTGGAGATAAACAGGTAGAAAAAAACCGCATAAAATTTTGACCTTGCGTTGCTGCGATATTGAGGCCAAAGTTTGAGGTTTACCTGTAATTACATGGAAAACTTTAACTGAAATCAAAAAAGGTAAACTTTAACTTTTGGTAAAGACTGGCCACACCCATGACCTGAGACTTGGCACAGGTGTTCCTTGGGCTATTACCCACAAACGGTATGCACAGAATTTTGATATTCGCCTCTGTTCTTGAAATATGAGGTTTACTTTAACCAAATTCATTGTCATTCATATTCATATATATTATAAATATATATGCTTTCCGGATCCAAAATTTCACTGTTTTGACGCAAGTGACAAAGACAACAAAAATATTTGAATATTGCCTCAACTAACAACTTAATGAAAGTAATATGACTGTCCTGTTTAGCAAGATGTCCGGTAGTATCGACCCCTCAATTCCTCCCTTCCGGTACACACTTACAGCTTCCCCAGACGGTGAAATATGGGACCACACTGACGACACCAACAAATTCCAGGTAATCGATTAAGAAATAATTATAAATTACTAATTAATATTTCATTTTATTAGACAGAAGCCAACTCAGAGATGTCCCTTTTGACCTTCCTTACGTACACTGCATCAAACGCGAAATGTACCAGTTATCCAAAATTTTAGATCACGAACAATATATTTCTGGCTCTAAAATTGTCATAATTTCTTCAATTCTGGTATAAACGATTTATCTCGCTATGACCACCACCACCTCTCCCTTTCATGTGATTTTAAAAGAAATATTGATTATCTAATTGAGAAATATCCTAACACGACTTTTATATTTAATTCTTTAGTTCTCACACGTTTCTCGTGGCTTAATGAGGAAGTTAAGCATTTTAACAGCTTTATTTTTGAACTAAGCAATAGAGTGTCCAAGCTATGGTTCTTTGACTCGCACCATATTTGTACTGTTTTATACCAGAGAAGAGAGGTCATTGTAGATCCTGATGGAAACGGAATCCACCTAACAGTACTGTCCAAGAGAGAGATAGCTCGCTCTCTTGCTACCTGTGTCAAAGAATTTATGGGGCGCAGCTACTTAATTCGAAAACACTGGCCGCTAAGACGGGAGTATGTTTCTTCATTGGGCAGACCTTAGAACAGCAATACAATCGGCAAACATACTATATCGAAAATTTGGACAAAATTATTAATCTACTAAGAATCGTACAGTATACGAACCATGTCTTATCTGCACCAGCTTACGGCTAATCGAAATCTTATCTTTACTAAGTTGAACCACGTAATCAGACCACTAAGTACATACACTTACAAGTTACAAATACAGAATACAAGTCACATTCACATTTCACATACTTCAATTAACTTTTTAAACTTATTCCCACAGAATACTAGTGTAAAATAAGATGGCACCCAGACCAGTCCTCCGCGGCGTACCAATGGTAAACAGTGCCTGCTCACAAGTCTCTCACTACACACTATACTCTCAGTCGTTGTAGCGACTGACAACTGCAATAACTCTCAATAACTAAGTATTGAACTCTACGTTAATACGACAATCACGATAACTTGTATTGCCAATTACTCTGATATGACTACTACATACATGCAACCAAGTGCGGTACTGTGAATCAAACGGTTCAAATGCTACAATTCGGTCCTAAGCTAGAGTTGAACAAAGGAAACAGTTGAATCGAGTAATAACGTTCGAATGATGAATATAAAGATATTATCAACAATCACAACTTAAACTGTGGCAAGACGGGCCACGTTGGGCGTTCTAGATCAGCGGTTAACACTTTGATTAAACACGTCACCTAAAGAGCTTTTCCAGAACTAATCCTAACGTGTCCAGAAATGCGTTATCGACACGCGCCACGTGATACCACGTGGTCACTTAACTACCTAAATCTACACTCATTACTAACGGTCGTATTAATCACTAAATTACAATCTACACAACTGCTAAAACTACTCTAAAACTGCTGCAACCAGCCTCCATAATACACTATATCCCCGGGAAAATTTAATCGATTTCGTCAATATCTCCAGGAGGTATTGACAAATTCGACTAAATCCCCCCCTACCTACTAAATCCTTAAAAAAATCCTAAAACTCCCTCTTAAACAACACCCTATTAAAATAAAATTACCAACAGAATCCCCGTGATGCAACTCACGCGAAAAAACTACCCTTTAAAAAATTTACACGTGCTACAAAAATATAAAATTTAAAGAATACGTGTACCATCACGTACCAAATCTGAATAATTAAAACTACACGTGAAATCTCACTTGACACAATACAAATAAATTATAAAAACTAACGTGATACACTTCACGTTACAAACTTCAACTACTTCAAAATATTTACAAAACTTGCTACCCTACTAACTGTCCTTCTCCTAAACTGTCCCTCCTACTTCCCTTACTTCTTCTGCCGTTCTGTCGAAGTCGTAGCACCGTCTACCATCCACCGTCTCTCCGTCCACACCACCCGTTGTTGAACACGTCCTCCACAACCATACTCCTAATCCAGGTACCGTACATCTAGGCACGAACCTACACTTACACCATTATTTCCGTACACCTAGTTACGAACATAACTAACACAATTATTTCCGTACACCTAGTTACGAACATAACTTACACAACTATCTCCGTACACCTAGTTACGAACATAACTTGCATAATTATTTCCGTACACCTAGTTACGAACATAACGTATACAATTATCTCCATACACCTAGTTACGAACATAACTTACACCATTATCTCCGTACACCTAGTTACGAACATAACTTACACCATTATCTCCGTACACCTAGTTACGAACATAACTTCACATAAGTCACTGCAGACCGTCATATTTATAGATATGAAGTCCAATCATCTAGATTAAGACCTTATCGGCACACGAATATCAAAAGTCAACTAAAGGCAAATCTAGGCATCAGGAGCGATGCTCTACCGGATTAAAATGTGACTCAACCTCTACACTCTACTCTACTCCACGGTTCAACAACTAACTCCACCTCTCGCAAACTCTCCACTCTCCAGGGTAGCAAGCCCTTCAAAATAAAAACCAGACATCACTAACAATATCAACTGATATCAAGGACACCAGGCATACCCTAAGCACGGCGGGAGATAAGAAATGCAACGATGACCACCTTCCACAGGTTCCAGGTAGTCTGCAAAACATGACAACAATCGTCGTATCTGCCCGAGCAACAGTTAGTTAACTGGCATCCCTTGACCAGCAATCCTCTAAAAACCAAGTAAACTGTCCTTTACCACCTTCAATACAACACTAATTCTCGACACCGGTCTGTAGTAATCCGGCTTCTTTAATTCTGCTCTATTCCTTAGAGAACGTCCTCCACTGACTACAGGTGTACTCTGTTCCTCAGGTGAGTAAGCTAGTGTACTGTTACTCTCCCCCAGTATGACAGGACTCAAACTATCCTCCATCCGGGATGTAGGTTCCTCAACCCCTCTGCCCCACCCGGGTGTGTGGAAAGATCCAAAACTCGATTCTGTCTCCTGGATAGGTGATGAAATATGAATAGGAGTGTTAACCCTAGCTGGTGTTTGAGGGTCATGTTGGATTGAAATTTCCTGACTTTCCGTTCTGAAAGGAAGTGTATACTCAGGTGATAGAGGTTCGTCAGGAATTTCAATTCTCTGATTAGACAAAGTACTCTCTCGAATCACAGGATTCCTTCTCTCTACTTGCTCAGGCATCCACTCCTCATCACTACTGCTATCACTATTCTCACTGTCCCTTCTCACTGGGTCTTTTCTCACTGGCTCCGCAGTATATCTGCTGCCCTCACGAATCACTACTCTTTTCTCCGAGAATCTGTTCATCTCGTAGTGCTTCATTTTACAAATATTTGTGACCTTCTCTAACCCAGGTCCGTACTCCACTACATATAAGTGATCATTTATCACCTTCTTTACCTTGCACGGACCCCTAAATCGTGGAGCAAACTTGTGTTTAGGACATTGCACTAACACGAAACAAAAGTCGTTCTCCTTAAAGTAAGGACCATGCAGTTTACGATCATGTTGCCTCTGTGCATACATGAAATCTACATTAGCACTCTCTCTCACTCTCCTGATGATCCTCTTCATTTCTCTGTGAAGCTCGTATGCCTCTCTGGCAGCGGCGTTCCTCGTATCTGGCTGATGCTTTTCTCTATCATCTAACATCAGATTCAACGGCAAGTTTACCTCTCTGCCAAATATCATCTTGTGAGCAGAATACCCAGTTCTCCGGTTCTTCAAACAGTTCAAGGCAAATGTACTCTTGTCCAGATACATATCCCAACAGTGCTCCTTTCCCTTAGGAATGCATGCACGTAACGCTCGATTGGTTCTCTTGTTGTTGCTCTCAGCACGGGCCGTGCTAGACGCTTTATACGATGTTCCGTGAGTTTTCTTGCACTCGAAAGACTCCCAAACTTCCTTGAAGAATTCTGCTCTGAACCCGGGGTGATTATCCACAATTAACTCCCGACACATTCCGAACTTTAATACCCAGTTCTTCATTATCGCTGCTATATTCTCCTTAGCAGTTTGACTCTTGACTGGAACTGCCACTAGATAGTTTGACCAGGCATCAGAGATAGTAAGGATGTATCGATATCCTCGGGGTGTTCTCTGATTTGCTGTCGGTACTATGTGATCAATTACTATAGCGTCATTGAAATGGTGGAAGAATAAATGCTTTAACGGTGCTTTCAGATAAGCTTTCGGCTGCTTCATCTCTCCGCATCTTATGCACGCTTTGATGTACATTTTGAAGTCCTGCTCCATCTTTGGCCAGTAGAAGTACTCCCTGCATTTCTCCACACAGGTGCTGATTCCCGGGTGACAGTTGGTGATGTTGTCGTGAAACAGTCTCATGATCTCTTCTTCATAGCTGTCTGGTATCACGATCAACTCTCTCGAATCCTTCTCTTTTCTTTTAACCCACTTTCTCTTCAAGAGTCCACTTTCATCCACTTTCATCAAGCTAAATTGGGTCCAATAGGTGATCAATTTGTCTGGCACACGGTTCACCTGGATTGTTCCCCGGGCGCCGTCTTTAACCCACTGTTTCACAATCCTCAATATTGGATCCAAGTTCTGCTCTGTCTTGATCCTTTCCAAATCTGGTAAGCATTGTTTGTCTGTCTCTGTATCTGGTACTGCAAAGGTAACCTGTTTACAATTACCCTGCTTCTTCTGAAGTCGTGGCATCACATCGATGCTGCAAATACATACAGGAACATCCTTCTCCTTGAGCTTTACCATCCTCACATGTCCATCATGATTGTCCTCGAACAGGAGTTGTAGATCACTTTTCTCCGTTTGATCTCTCTTAGTCACCTTTTTTTCATCATGCTCATCAATTATCTCATCTGTACTCTGCTCTCTCCATATCTCATTCTTCCAGCCATTTATCCCCTCACTGATTACTATCTCGCTCCCACTACTACACACTCTGCTGTTCTCTCCCATACCACACATG